CGATTTGCGAATAGTGGCAAAAACTTTATTATGGTACATGCACTTATATGTTCAAAAGAGCAAACACAATTTCCTTCTGCCTAAATATTGACATTCCAAATAAATACATCTTGCAGAAGTAAATAACATATTTAATAACATTAATTTAATGAACTGTTAATGGTGTAGATACACGTTCAAGCAGCAACTAGCAGCAGCAGGGAAGAAGAATTGCATCGATAAACTCAACCACCAGCAACATCCGCCTGTAACAAGTGCTAATAAACGGACAGCAAAAAAGGGAAAAAATAACCGAAACAACCGACTAACTAGCTGAAAAATATGTGGACATAACCAGTCGCTTTGGCAAGCCATCAAACAGTGTTAATTAGCTAAAATTGCAGCCGCCCATACATCCATACATACTTGTACATACCTACAAGAGTCTGCTCCTACAAAAGTGCGCGACTACAAATCAGTGTCGCTTCCTTTTCAGCCGCGCTGCTCGATTACAGGCGACTTGTCGGCAGGAAAACTGAAAGAAGAATGAGTGAGCAAATTATGGGTGATGCAGCAAGAAATCGCCTTTTAATTCAACTAATTGATGGCTCATCGCTTAACGGCAGGCCAAGTGGCAACTACGGTTGAACGCTCTTCATAACATATTTCGCTACTGCGCTTTAGCGCACATACATCATTGCACATGTGTGTATGAAATTCCATTAGTATGTGTGCTTATCTGCGCGCTTTTCCGCTCGTCACTAATAATCTGTCTTGTGATTTGCGCACTCGTTTACTATAAGAGATACAAGCGAGACAGTTATGCAACAAACCAGTTAATTGACTGGCGATTGAACAGTTTTGAGGTTAAGCAAGCTTATGAGGCAATTAAGCTATCGGAATTTAGAGCTACGATATCGGGTTTAGACAAAAGCTAATTCGGGCCAGGAGAAGCAGTGAAGGAAATATGCATGATTCTTATCCAAAATAAGTTCAGGTTATCGCAAAGTCGGAGAAAGATACTTAGTAGTAGATATTAGAATTATTATTATATTACATTTTAAAATGTTATTACCGAGTATATAAAGAAGATAATCCCAAGCGATCTACGAGATCACGAGTACAAAAATCGATCTTTCTCTAACTCCATCACTAAACAATCGGGGGGTTCTTATTTATTAATTATTATTTTGGAGCTATGTCTGTCCAAAAGTTCATCAACTTAGATATATTTTTCGTTTTACCAGCCTTTGTCGTACCTATAGTAAAACATATGCGATCGCTAGGAAACTAACAGACTCAACCTTAACAATTATACTGTTATTCATTTTTTCATATAACATGTGATCCGCACTAACAAAACAAAGACTTTCACATATTTTTTTTTTTTTAATTTTGTGCCAATACAAACATGCAAACGCTTATTCCAATTTTCATACACTTCTTATAAGCCTCGGCCTTCAGTACCTTCAGCCAAAGCTCATTTTTGGAGTATCATTCCCCAGATTATTGGAAAGTTTCGACATCAAATTCTTAAACCCACGTCTCATTACTAGTAACGATGTGTTTGAAGAATATAGAGTCCTTAGCTTTTTTTGGTATGAGTCTAGCAATGACACGCTTCATACCCTAAACATTAACCAAAATGTGTTGAGTCGACCTCTAATTGACATATGGGGATAAAGCTGAAGAGGAACGTAATAACGATTCGGTTTGGATGAGCGGTTCATATGCACCAGTCCGGGTTAGAGTGTACCATATATATGAGCGAGATTGTAATATCTAGTTTAACTATGATGATAAAAAATAAACCATTTTATGGGGTTTGCCTCACGAAAGCTTTATATTGAATTTTAAATCACTGCTAAATCTCTGTAAGAGGTTCACTTTTCTATTAGATAGTACAAAGAACAGTTATTTTTCTTTTTAGTCATTAATTTTGCCAAAAAGCACTTTTCCAAAGTCAAGAGAGTAACCAACATGTGCATTAGAAGTTCCTGGCTCTATTTGCATAGAGCCCTCTCTTCAAATTCCACAGTTACAATGAGTAAATTTTATTTTTACTGAAATCCTTAAAATATTTGTTCTTTGAAGAATCTTAAAGAACTTGTAGCGTGTCATAGAAGAGACATATGAATATCGCCTAACTGATTGTACATATGCAAAATCGTCTGCTCGTTCGACATCTTGTCCAGCTGGATGAGTGAATGACGACGGCGACAAACAGACTTGCTTCGTTGCAACTCAAATGTCCGAGCAGAATGCTTTTGACGCACTGACTTCGAAGCACGGCTAGAACGCTAAATGCGTATACATATGTGATGGTATTGTTGTTGCAACACATTGCCCACAGGCAATGGCCTACACAATAGTCTACATCTTACGTTTTATTTATGCTGTGTTTACATATGCAGATTCGCCTTTACGAGCAGCCAAGTTACTACTTTGTCTTGTGCTGCGATTTATTATTAATTTTTTTTTGCTGCGCTATTTATGCATATTTGCTGTTTGCTGTTGTTGTTATTTTTTGCCTATTTAGTGGCGCCTAGTGCTTGCGACGTTGTCTCGGACAGTTCCTGCTTGTGAGCGCAACTAAATGGTCATGCTCATCCATGCCAGTGGGTCTACTAGTGGCTGTAGATACAACATGAAATTATTATTATTCATTTGGAGCAATAAAAGGCTGCGACGTGGGGTGGCAAGAACGTGCTAGGCAAAAGGCTTTAACATGAGTTTGATGTTATTATGCCTTGCATATGTCGGACATAAATGGCAGCTAATGGTTATGCGCTACTTCTGCTTCTGCCGCTGGCATATGTGGCGCTACACTGTGAGAAAAAGGTTGCAGTGCGCTTATTTGTTGCAGATACATATGTCTGTTATATTTGTGAATATATATATATACATAAATTTTTTTCCTAAACGTGACGTTGGTTAATATGTTAGCTACAATCTTTCTCTTTAATATCCACTGAGCAACTTTGTTTCCCTTCTGCTGCTACCTGCCACCGCTGGCTGCTGTGCAATATTTTCTCGGTAAGCCACCTTTTCCGTGTTTGTTGTAGACTCATCATGGCTGGCTTTTTGCTCATCTCAATATCTGCTGTTTCTACTGTTGTTGTTATTGTTGTTTTCATTGCGCCATAAATCATCAGCCCTCAGCCAAAACAAATGTTAAGCTACAAATTAGCGTTGCTGGCACCGGTTAGCCACCGCAACCGCCAACACCAGCAACAATCGTTGCCCACCAGCAGTTAATGCTTCCCAACAATCAAGCTTGTGAAAAATTACACTAGCAAAGTGGGTAAAAAGTTTGCTTAATCCAAAGGACAGTACTTGCTGGCAACAGGCGAGTGGGCAAGCGGATCGTCAGCGTTTGTACAAGCAGCCATTCACCGAGCGTTGAGCGCCAGGCGGCTAAGCTGGTGTGCTGGTGTGCTGGCAAACAGCCGCCCAATTGACCTAATAACAGCATTAATCTGTGTTATTTTGGCGCATTTTGTTAATGCTCTTAACGAAACAACAACAACAACAGCAAATGCTTGCATTAAAATAGAGCTACAAACCAACAGCAACAACAACAATCAACAAAGTGAACGTGTATCAAGATGCCTGCCGTATTTTTGTTCAATTTAATTTTTTTCTTCGACTCAAATGAGCAAAAAATTGGCAGCAAACCAAGCTTGTTGGCCGAGCGTGTTCAATAAAGAAGAAATAAAGCAGGGAAAAAGAAACAAAAGGCGTACAATGACTAGGAAATAAATGAATCTTAAATAAATCCATAGAAATGGCACAAAGCACGACGGCGGTAACAGGTTGCTAGTTGCACCAACTGGCAGGCGTACTAGCGACAGCCATGTGGCATGTACATGTGTACGGCGGCTACAGTAAAGCTATCATATATTTTAATAAATTATAAAAAACATTTAATTAATGTCATTATAATAAAGCAAAATTTCAATAAAATAAAAAAGTTCCCATACATAAACCGGGTTTTGAACAATCAGTTTGTATGGCAGTTATATGCTATAGTAGTCCGATAATAGCAGATCTCGCAAAGGAGAAGCTCCGTGGGTGTGCAAAATTTTATATTTGATAGCTTTTCTTCGCATGACTAAATCGCTTTAGCTCGTTACGCTGATCATTTATATATATATTTTATAGGGTCTCCGACGTTTTTTTCTAGGCGTTATAAATTTCGTAGGCAACTTAGTATACCCTGATCAGGATATAAAAATATATAATATAAGTATAATTACTGGGAAACTCTGAAAATTTGATACAAAAAGTTGCAAAAAGTTTTGAAGAAACCTTAAAAACTGTTTCAAAATATATTTTATTATATAAAAGGGTAATTCTATCGATAGTTCACTATACGTTGCGCCAACAAGCGCAGTTGAGCCGCGCTATTGGTAGCAGAAAGCGGAGGCAGGCGCGCGGTGGTGCCAACAATCGCTGTGAATTTGCCTGCCGCAGCACATAAATTGCATTAGGCGGCAAATGAGCCACAGCAATAACAACAACAACAATAAGCGATAGCGCTTATTAGTGCCATTGCCCGCATTACTTGCCTGTCACAGCTTAAAGGATCGCACGTTCGGTTCGCCTCGGTTATAGCGCAATTGCTGCGCAAAACAAACGCTGGCAACACAATCGCCACGGAAAAATGAGGCAAACATTTTGCGAATAAAACTTAAATTTAACAAGTGGTAGCAACGAAGATTAAACATTTGCCAAGCAATGTGTTGTCTGCCAACACACTTCCAACAAGCATGCAACAACACCGCATATTGCTAAAGTGGCAGCAACATTCTTTTTTAGACATTGCTGGCATGTTGTACGAACGAGCACTTTGCTTCAATGCGGCTTTTCGGACTCATTTGCCCAAGGGTGAAACCGCAACTAATTCCAATTTGCCACACTAAATTTATTTGTATGAAAATGATTTAAATTTTTTATTAGAAAATAGTTTCGCTAAAAAATCTATTTTTAACGTAAAACTTTTTTGTTTTGTTTTGCAGGCTGTACCAAGGTCTATACGAAGAGCTCACACCTGAAGGCGCACCAACGTATACATACCGGTAAGTGGTCAAAGAAAGCTAATAGTTTGGTGTTAATTAATACAGTGCAACCCCTTTGCATACCTAAGATTATATGCTTACAAAAGTATCTAAAGCTATAACCATATACCACATATTTACACCACAACTTTGAAAGCTTGTAGCTCCACTCAATTTTCGATAGACCTTGTCTGCTCTGACAAAAAATTCCTGATCGGTTTAAACAATTAATTTAAATCAAACAACTTTTATAGACTCAGCAGCCTAGCTATACACAGTTGTTACATTATGTAGACATATTAAAACAGTAAAAAAGAAACATCGCTAACGGCAAATTATGCGCGTTCGCTGACTCATAGCGAATAACTGACCTAAGAGGTATAGTCAACTATGCCAAATTGCTGTAATGTGTGTGTGTAATTTTTTATACGGTGTCGAAAGTGGAGCTTAATCATGTTTTTTTTTTCTTGAGTTTTCATTTTTGTTATTTGTAGGCCTATTCTTCGAAAAAATGCATAAAAAATTAAAAACAGCCAGTTTAGTAGGTCATTTTATGATTAATTACTTGAGCACCATTTTTTTTTTTTATGTTAACTTGAGTAATTGAGTTTGTTTTTATTTAATCAACGATCATCGGTTTAGTATGCGTAATATAAAGCAATAAAATTCACAAGTAGGCCAATCAAAAAAAATGTTTATCACAAAAATATTATTAAATAATTTTTTTAACACTTTGACTTTTGAATTTTGGGACTTTTATTACTATTACAATTTTTTCTGTTCCACTGAATTCTAGTATTGAAGAAAGGACAACTATCTAGATAGAGTCAAAATCACTATGAATGTGCTCTCTATGAAAAATTAGCTAAGTTTTAATTATATAAACCAGATCTTTTTCTCTAACGTATTTTTAGTGTATTTTACAATATACAAGTTTCAGATGCTCATTAGCGTAAAAATACATTTGAGACAACATAAATATCACAATCTCATTTGTAATAATTATGATTATAAAGCCACTCACTTAATCTTCTAAGAAGGTATATTTCTATAAAAAATTATAAAAAACTTGATTCTGATTTTTCTTAATCGGAACACCTTGCCACCACCACCATTTACATTTTTCGCTAGCCTCTTGATTTGACTCCAACTTCGGTCCTGTCGATAGGATTTCGGATGATTGTGTCTGGCTTTCGTCTCAAAACATGCCCGAACCAGCCCCACTTTTTGCTGAAAATTTCGGATCTCGGGCATGTTTGATTAGTGCATAAGTACAGACAATATATTTATTTAACACTATCCACTTGTAAAATAGGTTTTCACTCAGATCTTTTGAAATTAGAAATGTTTTTTAAATATTATTATTATCTAATATTAAAAGTATAGCCCAAAATGTTGATTCACTGAAGACACTTAGAGGGTTGTATCCACTTGTGATTTTCAAAACATCAATTTTTTTTATTGAATATGTATCGAATCTAGATGTATATATATATATTGCTATAATAAATTTTAGCTTTAATTTAGTTTAGAATTTAATTTAGTTTAGATAAGTTTAGGTAGAGACTTTTTTTTACCACCAGACATCCTTTTCGGAGTTACTCTTGAATATCGGCAACTTGATCCCGTTGGAGTCCAAAATTATTTGAAGTTTTTTTTATTGATTATTAAAGTACATTAAATTTTGTAAATGTACTTTACTTTCATTTCATTATTATATAAAATGCCTGTTCAAAAAACAAAAAAAAAATTCACAAACAAAAGTTTTTATATGACTTGCAAGAGGATATAACCTCTATAGGCCTTTTACAAATACTGAATTTAATCCGTTACTTATCACTCTTAAAATTTTATTACAAAGACAGTTTATGAAAACATATTTAAAGTTTTATATAATTCAAGCTGTATTTCTTTATTAAATACTAACTAATATTCTCTCTACCGAGATTTATAACCACAAGATTTACTTTTAAAATTTTGTTTTTAAACTAGAAATATTTCCATTTCAAATTTTCAAATATTTTGTTATAAATTGCCAAAAAAACATGTAAGGCACATTTCACCAAGAGATCGAAAAAGCTACCATATTGCATATCAGACTGAAAAAAAATAAAAGTTTAGTTTGACATGACATGCAATGCTAAACCCAAAAATGTCCATTTATGAACTATGCGCTATCATGTCGGTCTCCAGGTTGATTTGTCGATACCGCTAAGATAGCCTGCGGGCGATCAATTGAGTAATAACTTCACTAACTGCTGCAACCGAGACAATTGATTTATTTTAGTTAACGCCACATGTCGTTGGCAGCACACAAACATGAACGTGCAACATGCACACAAGTGCTTGGATACCCGCACACATGCACACACACGTAAGCGCACAAATGGAATTCATATTTTTCAAGATACTAGCAATATGTGATATAGCAACATGTTGCACACACGAAATATCAATGACTGCTGAACATGCAACGGCAGGCAAATATGTGCGGCAACTTTGTAACCAATGCCTGCCACAGCTTATACTACATATGTACACACTGTTGGCAGTTGGATTAATTTTGAAATATGGCTAATAGATTGCGGTTAGGGCAGACCATAAGCGCCAAACAACAACTAGAATTGCAACAACACAAACAAATCCACGTACATGAACAGCAGAATGCCAAACAGTAAATTGCTGCAAGAGGCAGCATCGATATCAGCCACAAAGCTAAGGCAGCCAGCAGCAGCATAGCACAATAAACGCGGCAGCCTCCGTCAATAAAGCCAAGCGGCAGCAGGCCAGGGAAGGGAGGCTTTCGAATGCACCAATTGTTGCTAAGCTCAGAGCACAAAAGCAGCCATTAAGGCAACGTTTATTGTGTACTTAAAACATTTTAGCGTTGAAGTTAAGTGCCGCTAACATTAATATGCATACGGAGTTGTGCATGTGTTTGTTTGCAGCTGTATGTGTGCCTAAACGTTTGTAGTTTCTGTGGATTTTTGATTTATTGGCATAAATGTGAATATGGAAAATGATATTATGGCAAAATAACGAGTAGCAACTGCTTGTAACTACGGATATGTGTGTAAGTGTGTGTATGTAGCAGCATTTTCATAATAATGTTGTTCGCCGAATTTGCTGTCGTTGCTACCATTGTAGCTGTCACACTCACACACGAATTTAACGGCGAGCAAATGGTAATTTTACAAGCACAGTTGCAATAGCATCGTTCATAAATCATTGAAATTAATTATATTCCTAGTAGGTATTTTGCTACACACCGTAGTGTGGCATGCTCAAAGAGTGTTGCTAGCGCGCTTTAAATGCCCTTAGGCAGTAGATTCATTTGGGGGGGAATGAGGAATAAATTTAGTGATTTTAGAAAATGGTATGAAGAAATGTAGGTATGTATGGAAGTGAGTATACGTGCGTGCATGTGTGCTCGGTCCAACTAGATACATATGTAGTGCCACAGAAATGGGGGAAGAGCTATAGTGAGCATACTTAAAGGATTGTTTACAATAATTTTAATACACGAGTTTCAGAAATACAAACATATGTTTTGTTATACAACTTCATTTTTGAAAAAAAATATGCAAGGCAAAGTATAATATATATAACCCCAATAACATAAATTGTAATTGTTTTATCAGATATATAATTTTAAGATGTAATTTTTATAATTCATCTTGGTTTCAAAAAATCCATTTATTTTTTGTGTCCAGTTCCTCCTTTTTTATTTTTGACATTTTTTATTTCATTTTCGCACTTGTCAAAAGCATTAAACTTAGCTGACCATTTGCCCTGTTTGGCTGGGATAGTCCGGATTCCGAAAAGGCTGGCTGAGAAATTAAAAAACAAAGAATTAATTGAATAAAATTATGTTGCTCTCTCACCTATTATATGTCGCGATTTTCAGTGAATTATAATGTGGAAAAAATCGATGAATAAAAAAAACATCCCGGATTTTGACTGGACAAATAAGTCAGCTAACACTCAACCAAAACATGTTGTTGCTGTATATTTTTTCTAAATTTAAATAGATCATTTAAGCGTTAAACATTTTAAAAGAAATTCTTTTTGATATAATTTAACCTCGTAATGAGAAAACGGAGATTGTTTAACCTCAAAACTCAGAGATTTTGGCTTTTTTTTCAATTCGTGTTTAAAATATTATTTTATGACGAGTATTTAAATCAAAACGTATTTGTTATAGAATTTTTTAAAATATCAACAACTAAGTTTCCACTAAAAATTTTACAATAAACCTTTTTTAATTTAAACCAAACTAAATAACTATAATATGAGATTTAGTAGCATTTGAAGCTCGAAATTTGCCTTCAATGAGTTTTATTTTATTTTATGTTTCAAAATTTAGCTAATGATAAGTGCTTAGCCGTAAGAAAACTGCGCAACTTTCGTTTGTGGTGCCTTCTTCAATCTTCATCATTTGGATCGACTGAACCTATCCTATTCCTAGTTAAAATGACTTTAAAGGCTTATTATGAGAACAACTAAAATATTTTAATCACTGCAACAACCACAATACATACTCTTGCTTCGCAAAGTATTAGCTTACCGACTTCATTGCTTAGTAAAATTACTTTGTCGACTACCAAGATCTCGTATATAACGCACATACGTATATATATATACATATATCAGATCCATCCCAATGAAGTTCTTATATAAGTCCACCACTCACGCTTTTTGCATTACTGTCAAAGCCAATGAATGCTCAATAGGTCGCCTATGCATTTCCTTCATTATTTCCGCCTTGGCAAGTGTATTGTGGCACACAATTGCCGCGTGTCCGTAATCATGATCAGACCGCAACTAGCAACGAGGAAACAACTAACCCAACAACCATCAACGCTTGCAATATTTCAACTGGAAATGGTTTCTTTTGCTTTTGTTACTGTTGTTCCATCTATACAACTGAAATGCAGCACCATTCGGATATAAAAGATTTTTCTCACTTCTCACTGCGCATGCGCTGCTGATGATGCAACTTTTGCGGTCGCTGGCTAAAG